GTCATTGGAGACATTATACATGCAAACAACTCTCTATTACAGCCATAAAACACAGAAACATTTGCTCCATAATCCTTTAAAGCTGAAAAGAGTGATGTGCTATATAAAGCTGGAAAAGGGTGATGTACTATGTAAAAGTCATTATTTCTGTATGCCAATATTCCTTTAAAGACACTCATTGGCTAATTCGTTTTGTGTTACCTCTGAGCGGATATAATGTAGGCTATTTTGGGCAACTGTGGCTTTCCATGCATTTTGGACCACATGTCCCATCATACATTGTCATTGGCTAGCCTGGCTAGAGGTAATAAGAAGACATAAGCCAAGGGGGACCCAGGGTGTAGCTACACCGTAAAATTAATGCGATTTACCACCACTTGAACTGCAGTGACTCAATAGAATGCTGGGTGTTGTAGTTTTATAAGGGCTTTAGCCTTCTCTGGAAAGAATGCAGATGCCTCACCAAACTACAAATTCCAAGATTCCACTGCTTTGATGAGTGGCAATTAAAGTCGTTTCAGACTGCATTTCATAGAATCATAGAATCAAAGAGTTGGAAGAGACCTCATGGGCCATCCAGTCCAACCCCCTGCCAAGAAGCAGGAATATTGCATTCAAATCACCCCTGACAGATGGCCATCCAGCCTCTGTTTAAAAGCTTCCAAAGAAGGAGCCTCCACCACACTCCGGGGCAGAGAGTTCCACTGCTGAACGGCTCTCACAGTCAGGAAGTTCTTCCTCATGTTCAGATGGAATCTCCTTTCTTGTAGTTTGAAGCCATTGTTTCGCGTCCTAGTCTCCAGGGAAGCAGAAAATAAGCTTGCTCCTCCTCCCTGTGGCTTCCTCTCACATATTTATACATGGCTTTCATATCTCCTCTCAGCCTTCTCTTCTTCAGGCTAAACATGCCCAGCTCCTTTAGCTGCTCCTCATAGGGCTTGTTCTCCAGATCCTTGATCATTTTAGTCGCCCTCCTCTGGACACATTCCAGCTTGTCAATATCTCTCTTGAATTGTGGTGCCAGAATTGGACACAATATTCCAGGTGTGGTCTAACCAAAGCAGAATAGAGGGGTAGCATGACTTCCCTAGATCTAGACACTATGCTCCTATTGATGCAGGCCAAAATCCCATTGGCTTTTTTTGCCGCCGCATCACATTGTTGGCTCATGTCTAACTCATTGTCCACGAGGACTCCAAGATCTTTTTCACATGTACTGCTCTCGAGCCAGGCATTGCCCTCCATTCTGTATCTTTGCATTTCAACAGAAAGGAAGAAACCATGAAAATTTACTCAACAGTACAGATGCACTAACAGTTGCCTACCTCAACATATAGAAACTACCAGGAACGTCAGTACTTTCTAACACTTCTCTGTAGCTGACAAATGCAGTGTAAAAATCCTAAACACAATTTGAAGCAGATCTCCACAAGACTGATGAGAAAAGCAACATTACTGATGCAATTTACTTACTTTATTTGCTTACACTGTTATAATAGTATGGTATGTAATTTACTTGCACTATTATAGTGCTGTATTCAACATTAACTACCATGACAATACCCTGAGGTTTGTAACTTAATAAGGCCCAAGAGCTTTATTAATTATCTGGCAAGTGAGCTTCTTTCTCTGGTTCAGAGTGAGATGTCTGCTGTTCTTCAATCTATCTGCTTCTATTTAACTTCCAGTCCTTATAGATTTGTTTTACTCCATCTAGTGGTAACTTGATATGCAGATGTTTCTTGTCTTTGATCACATCATTTTCTCTACGGGATGGACCTTCTGTGAAATGCATCTCCTTTCATTTACTTCTGAAGCAACCTGCTGTGGGTAAGATAAAAAATTGTTGTTTCTGAAAGGTGTGGGATTTTTATTTCATTTCAGCATCACAATAGAAGTTAATGTTTATGTGTGTCCTTTCTGTAAGCTAGTCTGAGGGCTTTTTGATTTATGAGGTCAATTAATAATTGCTAAATAGCTAGAAAAATATTATGTATACTCTTGTACAAACTGGCATCATGTGTAAGTTGAAGGCAGGTTTGGGGGCACAGTTATGAATTGTGATATGTTCCATGGATAAGTTGAGGGTCATTCTATAGAGATGGGAAAGCCGGAGCACTGCCCAGGGGCCAGGCACCCATGCCACTATCTATCTATCTATCTATCTATCTATCTATCTATCTATCTATCTATCTGTCTATCTATTTACAGTATTTATATTCCGCCCTTCTCACCCCGCAGGGGATTCAGGGTGGATTACAATGCACATATACATGGCAAACATTCAATGCCATTAGACATACAACATATATAGACAGACACAGAGGCAATTTAGCATTCTAGCTTTCCAGCTTCATGAGGGCATGCTCGATTCTGGCCACAGAGGGAGCTGCTGCTTCACTGTCCACTTGTGACACTGAATCCTTGATGGAGTACTTCCTCATTCTTACGCAAGCTGCTGAAAGGTTTTATGGTGTTGTAAATTAGTTAAATTAGTCTCCCCGCATTTAAGTGGTACCTAAATTTCCTACTTGACAGATGCAACTGTCTTTCGGGCTGCATAGGTCAACAGCAAGCTAGACTATTAATAGTCAAGAGCTCACTCTGACCCAGGATAGCTTCAAACTCTGGGGGGCGCTCATCTCCATTTCTTATCCAAAGAGCTGGCGTTGTCCATAGACGCCTCCAAGGTCATGTGGCCAGCATGACTGCATGGAGCGCTGTTGGTGTAATACCTGGTCTAGTTTAATGAAAAACAAAGTTCAATCAAGCAATAAATCAGTACTGAATTCCAAGGCTGATACTCTGCAATCCCACTCAAAACAACACTCAGGTCTCCAGACAACAAAATACTGTAATTTGTAGGTAAAATAAAGAAAACTTAGAAGTAACAAGAAACACAAAAACTTAATTTACACTGTATGTGGAATTAATGCAGTTTGATGCCAACTTTGTAATATAGGGGTGCTTCTGGGCAGGGGGTTGGACTGGATGGCCCACGAGGTCTCTTCCAATTTAAGGATTCTGTTATTCCTGCTTTGACACCAGCATATCTTGGTGTTCAGATTATCTTGGTATATCTTTGTATGAATGCACGTTGACACCACTTTTAACAGCCATCACTCAATACTATGAAATGATGGCGGGGGTCATTTGTAAGGTTGTTGTTGTTCATTCGTTCCGTTGTTTTCAACTCTTCGTGACCTCATGGACCAGCCCATGCCAGAGCTCCCTGTCAGCCATCACCACCCCCAGCTCCTTCAAAGTCAAGCCAGTCACTTCAAGGATGCCATCTATCCATCTTGCCCTTGGTCGGCCCCTCTTCCTTTTTCCTTCCATTTTCCCCAGCATCATTGTCTTCCCTAAGCTTTCCTGTCTTCTCATGATGTGGCCAAAATACTTCATCTTGGCCTCTAATATCCTTCCCTCCAATGAGCAGTCAGGCTTTATTTATTTATTTTGGAAGGTACCAGGACTTTTTTTAAGCAAAGTTCTTGTGACCTTGTGAAACTACACATCCCAAGATTCCATGGAATGGGGCCAAGGCGGTTGAAGTGGTGCCAAACTGGCATTCATTCGACAGTGGATTTGCACCTTCTCTTGCTTTGGCTGTTGTTCACTCATTCAGTCGTTTCCGACTCTTCGTGACTTCATGGACCAGTCCACGCCAGAGCTCCCTGTCAGTCGTTACCACCCCCAGCTCCTTCAAGGTCAATCCAGTCACTTCAAGGATGCCATCCATCTATCTTGCCCTTGGTCGGCCCCACTTCCTTTTTCCTTCCATTTTCCCCAGCATCATTGTCTTCTCTAAGCTTTCCTTTCTTCTCATTATGTGGCCAAAGTACTTCATCTTTGCCTCTACTATCCTTCCCTCCAATGAGCAGTCGGGCTTTATTTATTTATTTTGGAAGGTACCAGGACTTTTTTTAGCAGAGTTCTTGTGACCTTGTACTTCATCTTTGCCTCTACAATCCTTCCCTCCTATGAGTACTCAGGCTTTATTTCTTGAAGTATGGACTGGTTGGATCTTCTTGCTGTCCAGTGCACTCTCAGAACTTTCCTCCAGCAACACAGTTCAAAAACATCTATCTTCCTTCGCTCAGCCTTCCCTATGGTCCAGCTCTCACATCCGTAGGTGACTATGGGGAATACCATTGCTTTGACTATGTGAATCTTCGTTGCCAGTGTGATGTCTCTACTCTTCACTATTTTATCAAGATTTGTCATTGCTCTCCTCCCAAGAAGTAAGCGTCTCCTGATTTCCTGGCTGCAGTCTGCGTCTGCAGTAATCTTTGCACTTAGAAATACAAAGTCTGTCACGGCCTCTATGTTTTCTCCCAGTTGTCAATCTTTCTTGTTGCCATAATCTTAGGTTTTTTTTATGTTTAACTGCAATCCAGTTTTTTCACTTCCTTTTTTCACTTTGATTAGAAGGCTTCTCAGCTCCTCCTCGCTTTCAGCCATCAAAGTGGCGTCATCTGCATATCTAAGGTTGTTAATGTTTCTTCCAGTAATTTTCACCCCAGCCTTGCATTCCTCAAGCCCTGCACGTCGCATGTGCTCTGCATTCAAGTTGAATAGGTCGAGTGAATGTATACAACTCTGCCTTACGCCTTTCCCAATCTTGAACCAGTCTGTTGTTCCATAGTCAGTTCTGACTGTTGCTACTTGGTCCTTGTACAGATTCCTCAAGGGAGCGACAAGGTGGCTTGGTATGCCCATCCCACCAAGAACTTGCCACAATTTATTATGATCCACACAGTCAAAGGCTTTAGAATAGAACAGAATAGTCAATAAAACAGGTCAAACATCAGGGCAAAGCGGCCAGAGCCAGGGAAGCAAGCTACTCCACTGAAGTGCGTCGTGACGTCTAAGCAGAGTCAGCCCCCCCCGTTGCTAAGCAACGCCCATTTCCGCCCGTCGCTGATGCACAGAACGTTCTCTCCTCGGAGGCTGCTTCGCCCCTCTGCCCCTCCTCCTCCTCCTCCTCCAATGTTCTCCAGCCCGCTTCCGGGATGGGCGGGGCGGGGCGTGACGTCACTGCCCTGCGCCACTTTCTTTCCTCTCCTCAAGCGCAAGAGCAGCCTTGCTGGTGCTTTGTGCTAAGCATGGTCTGGGCCACACGAGCCTTACTGAGGAAGGTTAGTACGACCCTCAGCTGCTCTTTCCCCCTCTGCCTGGGCTTCATTTAAGTCAGTGTTTCTCAATCTTCCTAATCTGCGACCCCATAATACAGTTCCTCATGTTGTGGTGACTCCCAACCATACAGTTATTTTCGTTGCTACTTCATAACTGTACTTTTACTACTGTTATGAATTGTAATGTCAATATCTGAGATGCAGGATGTATTTTCATTCACTGGACCAAATTTGGCACAAATACCCGATACACCTAAATTTGAATCCTGGTGGGGTTGTGGGGGAACTGATTTTGTCATTTGGGAGTTGTAGTTACTGGGATTTATAGTTCACCTACAATCAAAGAGCATTCTGAACCTCACCAACGATGGAATTGAATCAAACTTGGCACACAGAACTACCATGACCAAGAGAAAATACTAGAAGGGTTTGATGGGCATTGGCCTTGAGTTTGGGAGTTGTAGTTCACCTACATTCAGAGAGCACTGTGGTCTCAAACAATGATAGTTCTGGACCAAACTTAGCACGGATCCTCAATATGCCCAAATGTAAACTCAAAGTTCTGTTGTTGGAGTATACGCCCCCCCCCCCTCATGGGAAAGCTTGATTCCACAATTCCCGCTAAAATGAGCCCTCCTCCGTAAGTTGCTTGCTTCTCTCTTTTATCTCACCTGAGTTTTTTAATTAGTTTTAGTCAGTTTGTCTTTTAATCATTACACGTAGCCTGCCCATTATTACTGTGCCTGTGCATATTGTAATTTTTGTATTGTTATGTGTTCATATGTTTTGTGTAACAATGATGTTATTGTTCGTGTTTTCGGTTTGTGTTTTGGTTTTTCTTTATTGTAATTGTTATTTGGGCTTGGCCTCATGTAAGCCGCTCCAAGTCCCCATTGGGGAGATGGTGGCGGAGTATAAATAAAGATTATTATTGTTGTTGTTGTTATTATTTTGGGGAAATAGACAGTAAAAGTATGATAGCTAGGACCCTACGCTGGTTGCGCAACGCGGGTCTGAATTAATGAGGGGAACTCGTGCGCAAGACAGCACAGCAAGTGAGAGATGCAGCTGTATCAGAGTTGTGGCAACATTGTTCACCAGAAAGGGGGAGAGGGAACATTTCTATCCCATTTACCGCCTTTGTAAGCCATTGTTTATCATTTAACATTAAATAACTCTTACATTACTTCATCCTTGTCCTCTCCCACCTGAATTAAACTACTTCACTGTTGCCTTGTCGCAGCTGTGTTGCTCACTCACTCCGCTGTTCTGTGCACGTCTTCCCTTCATTAATTCTGAGCTGCGTTGCACAACTAGCATAGCATAGGGTCCCAGCTATCATACTTTTGCCAAATAGACCTTGACATTTGGGAGTTGTAGTTGCTGGGATTTATATTTCATCTACAATCAAAGAGCATTCTGAACCCCAACAATAGAATTGGGTGAAACTTCCCACACAGAACCCCCATAACTAACAGAAAATACTGTGTTTTCTGATTGTCTTTGGCAACACCCCACAAGAGTCCCAACCTCCCCCTAGGGGTCCCAACCCCCAGGTTGAGAAATGATTTAAGTGGTTCTCAACCTATGGGTCCCCAGGTGTTTTGGCCTACAACTCCCAGAAATCCCAGCTGTTAGGTTTTCTGGGAGTTGAAGGCCAAAACATCTGGGGACCCACAGGTTGTGAAATTTAGCAGTGAACAAGTTGTATCAAAAAAAATTGTGATTTTTTAAAAAAGTGATGGGAGACCATGCTTTCCTCCTCTTTGTTTTGTATTAAAAATGGAAAATGTCCTAACTGTAGGTTTTGTTATTAGGGTTGAATGAGTAGAAGCACTACATGAGGTATTTTGTTTAGTTACCTGGACCTTTTATATGCAGATATATGTTTTATAACTTCTTTTTCTCTTTTTTCATTAACTATGTTTTCTTTTTTTGCTTTTCTATTATTTCATTTATTTATTTAAAATAAAAGGTCATTTGAAATTTTAAAAGCTTTGTCTGTTAACTCCCAACAGTCCTAATTTGGCAAGGGCAATGCCTTCCTTTTAAAAAGAAATACACAAAGTTATAAACAATATAACATTTAGTGGCATTGTAACTAATAACAAAACAAACAAGAAACTTAGCAGGCGTTGCATAGTGTTTCCTCCCAAAAGAATGGTTTTAAGGGGCCCCCATCTACGTTGCAGTATAATGCAGCTCGGAGTGATCCTGGCTCCATCTCTCCAAATGTCAGCCCAGGTAGATGTGATGGTCAGGAGTGCTTACTATCAACTTTGGCTTATATGCCGGCCGCGCCCCTTCCTGGATTTGGAGGACCTTAAGATGGTTTTGCACGCACTGATAACTTCAAGATTGAACTTTTGCAATGTGCTTTACATTGGGCTACCCTTGTGCCAAGTTCAGAAACTCCAACTGGTTCAAAATATGGCAGACAGATTGGTTGTGGGAACATCTAGGAGTGAGCATATTACACCTACCCTAAGTCACTCTAGACGCTCCAGTTCCGCCAGTTGTTTTCTTTATGTCTATTCCTTTGGTGATGGTTTTGACCTTTAAAGCCCTATATGGTTTGAGTCCATATCCTGGACTCAGTGTTAGGCATTTATCTCAAATAAAGTGTTATTAATTTTATTATTCACAAAATGTTTATTATCCCTATGTGCAACCAAACAAATCATATAATGAAATTAAACAGTGTACAATCCCAGCCAATTTACCAGCTATTAGGATTTCTGGGAGTTGAAGGCCAAAACATCTGGGGATCCACAGGTTGAGAACCACTGATTTAGTCCAACCCTCTGCTATGTATGAACACACAACTAAAGCATCCTGGAAATATGGTCATCCTTCTGTTCTAAAATTCCAAATAAAGAGAATTATCAGACTTTTAAGTAGTCTATTCCACTGTTAAAGAACTCATATAGTAAATAGGGATTTTTCCACCTAATGTATAGATGGGCTCTCTTTTTATTTTAAATTTGATCCATTGGTTTGTATTCTAGTTTCTGGAGCAGTAGAAAACAAAATTCTTTCATCTTCCACATGACATCCCTTCAGATATTTAAATTTGGCTATCACATTCCCTCTCACTCTTCTCTTCTCTGTACTAAATATACCCAGCTCCCCAAGTTGATCTTCATAGGTTTTAGTTGCAGATCTTGGCTACCATCCTCCAGATCTATTCCAGTTTGTATGTATCCATGAACTGTAGTGTGTAAGACTGGAAGAAGCATTTCAGATATGGCCTGATCAAAACAGAAACAAAATCTTCTGAAGAGATTTTGCTATAGATGTCCCCTCTAATTGGATGTTAGAGCCAAAAGGGTAGGAGCAACATTATTAGAATAATTTTCCCATTTTTTAATACTCTTACTGAATCTGTATGCCTTTAAACCTTTTTAACAAGTAAAAAGGATCTTTCCAGCTGATCTAATGAAACAGGGGTGCTAACAATATCGCTCCAGTTCCGCCAGTTGTTTTCTTTATGTCTATTCCTTTCTTTTTTGGTGTTGTTCGTAACTGTTTATTTGATCTTCACATGGGCCCTTCAGAATTTTTTTAAAGTAGGGCATGATTTGCTGAAGTGACTTAAAAATAGTTTTAGAATTATAGCATTATATTGTAAAAGAGCCTTTTAACTGATATTACAGTAAACTCTTGGTATCCACTGAGGTTTTGTTCCAGGACCCCTATGGATACCAAAATCTGTGAATGTTCAAGCCCCGTTATATATACCGTTAAGTGGTATTCTTCATATGCAATGGTATATAAAATCGTGAATAACTCAAACTAGTGCTGGAGAGAGCCTGAGGATTTGTGAAGTGGTTGGAGGCTACAGCAGGGCGTGCCTACCTATTGGTGTAAGCACCAAAAAGTTTGGTTTTTTGAATATTTTTCCAAATATTTTCTAGTTGTAGTTCCTTAAATCCTGTGAATGCAGAACCTGTGGATAGGGAGGGCATACTATACTCTGTTTTACTTTTAAAGTTGATAAGAAAAGAAAACATATTACTCCAATTTGCTCAGAGTTAAAAAGAGATCCACTTGAGGGTGGGAAAAAAAAACATTGCTGGTGCTCAGTCACATTAAAGGGGTGGAGGTGTAGTTTTTCATTCCTAAACCTAATGTGTCCTTTTAACAGTATGGCAGATTTATGGATGATCTTAGAATCTACGTGAAAGGAGGAACTGGTGGAATGGGTTATCCTCGATTAGGTGGAGAAGGAGGAAAAGGTGGTGATGTCTGGCTGGTGGCTAATGAAAAAATGACATTGAAGAGAATTAAAGACCGATATCCAAACAAACGGTTTATTGCAGAAACAGGAGCCAACAGCAGGTGTGTATTTTTTCTGAATGAAAATTAGTGTGGTCAAATTGTTCCTTTTCCTAGAAAGTAGTGTTGTGACTTTTATTTTATTTTATCCCTCAAGCATTGCTGCACTGAAAGGTGCTACTGGAAAAGATTGCGAGGTAAATGTGCCTCCGGGGATATCAGTCATGACAGATGATGGGAACACATTTGGTAAGGGTATTTTGGCTTTTTACATTATGTTATTGTAATTGATCAGAAAGTTTGATAGATGTGTGCCTAAAAAGAATTTGGTACACACATACTCAACCTGAATGAATTTTGTTTTTTTGTTATGATTCGTTCTTGTATGAAACTTCCCTCCTCCCCATCTTGAGGATTTAATTTCAGTTTCTCAGGTTGTAAATACTGGCTTTGATGGAGAATGCCTTCCACTGACTTATGACATCACAGAGGTACATGTTGACAGGCATTGCAAGGGTTTCCTGCAGCTGTTGCTGACATGTGTATTTATTGCAGATGATTAGGAACAGTTAATAGATTCTTCTCAGAAGCAATCTAATATGTTGATTAACAGACTATACTCTATTTGTCTAAATTGACGCATGTGCACTTGTGCACTGTGCATGTTTTCATGGAAATGAGTTGGACTGTTCCGTGGGGTCCATCTTTGAATGGATTATATCCATTTTGATATGAATATTATTTTCATAAACACTTTGGAAGCTACATGATTTCCCATATTGTTTTAAAACTTATATTTTTATTTTGCAGCTAATTGGTTAGCTTCGTGGGAAGCAAACATTGTAATATGTTTGGTAGCAAGATGGTGCATTTCTTGGTGTCTGTTGATGCTTTCTAAACATATATAATGCCTAAGCAGTATAAAAGGTGAAAGAAGTGCCTGTATAGTAGGAAGAAATATATTTCTAAAAACATTTGCAAAAAGCCATTATTAAAGTACAATCTTGATTTTTAGGTGAACTTAACAAACCAGGAGAGAGGCTATTAGTGGCACGTGGAGGTATTGGTGGATGCCTTGTAACAAATTTCCTCCCTTCCAAAGGCCAAGCACACATGATTCATCTTGATCTAAAACTGATAGCAGATGTTGGCTTAGTTGGGTGAGTTTTAGATCCTGAATATTGTATTCTGGAGTCTCAATAATCACACTTGTATATTGAAGTGAAAATACTACTTCTTGATGTTATTAGTTGTCACTGCATGTTTTGGTAGCTTTTGAATGGTCGAACCTGAGAACTTCAATTCTTGTTACAATTTTCACAATATCAAACTAATAGTTTGAATGCAACTATAATGCCCCTGGTGGTGCAGCACTGAATTGATGAACTTGCTGACCAAAAGGTCAGTGGTTCGAATCCAGGGAGTGGGGTGAGCTGTTAGTCCCAGCTTCTGCCAACCTAGCAGTTTGAGAATATTGAAATGTGAGTACATCAACAGGTACTGCTTCTGCGGGAAGGTAGCAGTCATGCTGGCCACATAACCTTGGAGGTGTCTACGGACAACACCAGCTCTTCAGCCTAGAAATGGAGATGAGCACCAGCCCCCAGAGTCGGACACGACTAGACTTTATGTCGGGGAAACCTTTACTTAATATGGAAGTAATGGATATCCAAAGCAGTGTTTTTGTTCTCTCTTCCTACTGTTTCTACATCAGATTTCAAAGTTGTTGTCAGAATAAAGAAGTGTTTTTGCTTCCTCTTCCTCATCAAATTTCAATGTTGTTTTCACAATGAAAAAGGAAAGAAATTATGGTGACTGGACATATATTTGTTTTGTTCATCTGAGTTGTTGAGTCAGTCTTTGAAAGCTTATGCTTTGATCTCAGTCTGAGTTGGCTTTTGCATCTCTGTATGTAGATAAGTGCTTTTTTGTTAGATATCACATAAGCCATTCTATCTTTGTAAAAAGATGGAAGACACAAGATTACACTTAGCTGCATTGAAACAACAACAGTGCATATATTTCAAAGTGACTGCATCTGGCTCAGGCATTTTAAAATTATTCCTGTTCAAGTACAATAATTTTTAAAATGCCCCTTTTGGGGTTATCTTGTTTCCATTATTATTCCAAAACTTCTCCCACAAACCCTTTATTAGCCCTTTATGTGGTAAGAATTTTTCAACGTGTCATATGGAACTTTTTTATTCATTAGTTTTATTTGTTTTTAATGGTTATGTTAAAAACTAGGTTAAAAAAACAACAATTTGTCTTTTTATATAGCTATATATTTCTTCAAAATGGTTTCCTTCTATAAAATGTAAGCTGTGGGATATTCTATCTGAGTAAAATCCAAATCTTGTTCTAAGAAGAGGTGTGACAGGTACATAGAGGTGATATTTCCAGAAATCATTGAGCATTCATTAGTAAATTTCCCTTGTTTAACCACAACATAGGAAGAATCAATATTTTTAAATGAGCAGTAATAATGATGTGTTTGGGCCCCAGTTAAACAAATTTCCTATTTTAATGATTTGTTTGCCCTCATCCAAACTAGCCACTACATTAGGCAAGCCTAAGCTGTAACAATCTCCTTTATTCTCTCTTCCCATATCCCATGGTAAGATACTTTTCAAAGTTCTTTGGACAGTTCTGCAGTGTTCTATATTGTTGAATGACTATTATTCAATAAGTCAGATAAAATAACGCCAGAAGGTTGATACGTTCTGAAAGATTTCTAATGCTTTGTAGGGGGGCTGTGGCATGACTTTCCCAGTTCTGCTGACATTGGATAACGAAATACACTGTCAGATCTTGCCCGTTTTCTTCAATGCAAGAGGAGCACATTTTGATCATGCAAATAGCTCAGCATTTAAGACATTCCTACCCAGATCAGTTCAGCAATTTTAGAGTGAATTATTTAGGTGTGTTATGGGTAGCACTTGACAGGAAATGAAGCCAATATTTTTGTTATTTGATGGCTCTAACACACATCTGTATCAACTCGCCAAGATTAATCAAGAAGTAAGTCATCATTCAACAACGATCTCTGTAGAGAAGTAGATGGAAAAGTAATGGGAAACAATTTTTGTGAAATACAAGCTAGTCCAATAAGGCACAGCAGTAACAATACAACATAGAGCCATTTTATAGTTATGTAAGGGGCTGTGGTGGTGCAGCGGTTTAAACCACTGCAGAAATTGCAGTCCACAGGATGTGGTGAGCTCCCATTGTTAGCCCCAGCTTTTGCCAACCTATTTATTTATTTATTTACTTTATTTGTATACCGCTCTTCTCAGCCCTTAGGCGACTCAGAGAGGTTTACAACAATTTAGGTATACACAATATAAAATCATTAAGCATTTAAAAGCAATAGCATCACACATCATTAAACATCAATATCAATACATCACTACATCTATATAACAAATCCATCAGGTCTCATCAATGAAATCAGAATCCAAACACGTTATCTGATATTCCGTGTTCCAATAGTCAGTCAATCAATCACACTGCTTAGTCGAATGCCTGTTCAAACAGCCAGGTCTTTACCTAGCATTCAAAAACCTGCAAATGTGAGTAGATCAAAAGGTACCACTTCGGCAGGAAGGCAATGGTGCTCCATGCAGTCATGCCAGCCACATGACATTGGAGACGTTTACGGACAATGCTGGCTCATTGGGTTAAAAATGGACTAGAGCACCCCCCACCCCCACCCCCGAGTTGGAGTTGACTAGACTTAATGTCAGAGGAAACCTTTTAACTTTACTAGAACAGAAATATTTATTTACAATATTTAGTTACAGTATATATATATATATAGAGAGAGAGAGAGAGAGAGAGGCAGTGTCCCCTGATGTAAGATTTCTGTTGAAATATTATCAGAAATGCTGACAAGGTTAATTTGCAGCAATAGTATCTGGATATGATTTATTTCAAAAGATGTATCATTGTAAAATATGTAATTTTATTTATAACACTAATGATATTGTAAAAATATTTTTAAACAATCAAAGGAAATTACAAACTTGTCATCTTATTCATAGTAGTAGACTTAAGAGACATGTATTGTTGTCAATCAAAGCAATATTCACAAATGAAATACAGTTTTATAATCAGACAAGGAAAGGGCTTCATTGCTGTGCTATATGTAAATGGCCTGATATAATACTTTCAATTTTATTTCAGATTTCCAAATGCAGGAAAGTCCTCTCTGCTAGCTAAAATTTCACATGCAACTCCTGAGATTGCAGCATACCCTTGTAAGTAAGTATTATCTATGTGTTAGTAGCAGCACCTTGATTTCACATAATTCTGGATCTTGTGTTTCCATTTTGGAAGTGACACAAATAAAATGTAGATAATTAATCCCCAACACATCCATAGCCTATTGCCATAGGATGGGAGTAATATGAAGAGTTTGTATGTTCAGTATGGTCTAAAGCAGTGGTTCTCAACCTGGGGTCCCCAGATTTTTTGGCCTACAACTCCCAGAAATCCCAGCCAGTTTACCAGCTGTTAGGATTTCTGGGAGTTGAAGGCTAAAAACATCTGGGGACCCCAGGTTGAGAACCACTGGTCTAAAGCATGCCAATTCTGCACACAAAAAAACTTTACTGAATTGTGGTCATATCTGTCCACTAGCAAGGTTTTCAGAGCACAGTTGCAGTTTGTTGTCTTTTAAGCAACTGTTTCTATATATTATTTTGACTTTTCTAGCAGGACTGCACCTGTGGAATTTACAAAAGGCTTGACTTATCTTTTGGTGAAAGATTCAGTGAGCCCACTTCATTTGGTAATGGCAATTGGATTGAGTCCTAGATATATGAATTGGGTTGTGATGGTTCTTTGCAGACAGATGTGTTAAATTCTTCACAAAGCTAACTTTTTCCTACTTTTCACAGTCACCACAATAAAACCTGAACTTGGAACAGTTAAATATCCTGATCACAAACAGGTTAGTCTATCTTATATTAACAATGTTGTCATAGATGTTACCCATGTCCTCTTTGGTAACATGGAGAGACTCTGGTTGCTGATGAGTTTAAAAACTAGATTGCCAGACTTATGATCTATTGTTCTAAGTAACAGAAGTTACGTAGAATTGTGTTGGTTTTTTTTCCAGCATTCATCACACTCTTGACACAGTTGTTGTCTGGGAGTCAGAGTTTTACTTCATCCTCCTCTTTCAGAGAGTGCTGGTGACTCACCAAATTACAACTCCCATAATTTTTTGGATTAATCCATGGCAGTTAAAGTGGTGTCCAACTGCTTTAATTCTATTGTGTAGATACAAGCTGAGTCTTGTCTTTTGCTGTTCTATTCAAGGAAGGGGATAAGAGTTAAGGTGCAGTACTTACATTGACTCATGGGTACATCAGTGTAGGTTTCCTGAGTCAAATTTTGTAGACTTATACAGTACATGAGTAAGTAAAGATGAAACATTAAAGAATAAGCTACTTCAGGATTTCTTTTCTTTTGATGTAAGAATATGATATTGTATCTCTCAGCTACCACATTAATTTAAGTAATGCATTACATTACAGTATGAATTTTGTAAAGCTTGAGGTTGTGTAATAGATTCTATTCAGATATATTTTCTCCATCTCTCTGTAGATTACTAAATCCAGTTCTGTTTAAACAATTTATACATGTCGCATTTCAAGAAAATTATATCTTCAATGCAAAGTCTACATTACTTGGTTTTAATGAGGAATTGTGAACCATGTTCATTCATGAGAGTTGTAAATGTTTGATTCTGAACAACCTAAGTTTTACTTTGATGTGCTAAAATTTTAGCTGGAACAGGAGAGTGCAATGTCGGAAGTATTTCTCTTAGATAAAAAGCTTGTGTCAAGAGGTGTCTGATCGCATCCGACAATAAAGTGCACAAATGTGATGTGTATAAAAGTGCTTTTTCTTCTTCCTGTAAGTAACAGACCCAACAGATGATGCTTTAATCTTCATTGAAAAGAATTTACAAAATGAAAAATTTCAGTGCTATAACCTGGAATCAGGCTTGCCCTTTTAGTTTTTACTTGGAGTATCTCAGTGTGTTCTTTAAAATACTCTTTGAAATGCCATTAAGTACCCATACAAACTACTTAACAGAATTATCAATGTTTGTAGCAGGTATAAAATCAAAATTGATAAACATATTTTTCATCTCCATCACTGCATCCTAAACAGATAAAGCACAATATTATCAATGACTCTTTGTCTGCCCCTTTGAATTTTGCAAATTAGTTGATAATGGCTTCATTCAGAATTGCTGGTTTCACAGATCACAAGAATTCTCAACAAGATTATATTCATATCCACAGACACCTAGGAGATTGCCTTAAAATACAGTGTTTAATATAGTTATATGCTCATCTTGCCTTATGCATATATCTGCAACTTTAATTGAGAAAAAATAAGTTGCAAAAACATATTTTAAAACAATAGAAATTAATAACTAAGAAACCTCAATAAAAGCGTAACAATACAAGGGTTGGAGGAAGCAAACTTCTCAAGCCTCTTCTATATGATGCTTGTCTTTTTTTGTAATGTGTCATTTTATAACCTGAAATATATGTCTTATTTGATTTGCTGTTTCCTTATCTCTATATAGCTAAAGCAGTGGGAGGGGCTGCAGGTCACATGACTGACTCAGTGATAGTTTAGAATGTCCAGTTTTAAACAGGATGACAGCTGTGACAGTTTAGCCTTGAGCTTGTTAGAGAATGTCTGTTGGCACATGAGTTGTTAGAGTGCAGAAAGTAATGTTAGGAACTTAGAAACTATTGAGGCTTGTGTCTTATTTGAAAGTAAACTCTTACTAAAGAGTGCTGTATAAAGCAACATAGTTTATGAAGAAACTGTTAAAGATTATAAATTCAAGATACAAAATCTCTGAAACATTACTGAAATATTTAATCCTTGACAAGTAATGTGCCTATATCTTTAAATACATGAAGTTACCAGTAAACAATCTTGTTATCTTCTTGTGTCATTGTCTGCTGAAAGCATCAAGCGGAAACAAAATATCTACATGCTCTGCAATCATCTATTACCAAATAAACTCTGTTAGTCCGATTAGGCCATGATCCTAACAGTTTATGATCCATTATCCCCAATAAAAAGTTACTTAAAAATAAAAATATGTGAAAATCATGTTATTGCTTTCTTTAATCCTTAATATCCAGATCACAGTTGCTGACCTTCCAGGACTGATTGAAGGTGCCCATGCAAATAGAGGAAGAGGACACAAGTTCCTGAAGCATGTGGAAAGAACAAAACAGCTACTTTTTGTGGTAAGAAGAAATAGTTGCTTGGCTTCTTTGTCTGTTTTACGCTGACCTTTTTAATTTAAACCTTTTCCAACGAAGTAACTTAGGATAGGCACCGTGGGACATCTGATCATTAGGCCATGGCACTGCTGATGTTGCAAATCATGTAGTGATTATACAGTGAGACTGTATTGTTGAAGGCATTCATGGCCGGAATCACTGGCTTGTTGTGAGTTTTCCGGGCTGTATGGCCATGTTCCAAAAGCATTCTCTTCTGACATTTCGCCTGCATCTATGGCACGCATCCTCAGAGGTTGTGAGGTCTGTTGGAAACTAGGAGAATTGGGTTTATATATCTGTGGAATGTTCATGGTGGGAAAAAGAACTCTTGTCTGTTTGAGGTAGGTGTGAATATTTCAATTGGCTACCTTCATTAGCATTCAATGTCCTAGCAGTTTCAAGGTCTGGGTTCTTACCTCCTGGGGGAATCGTTTGTTGGGTGGTGATTAGCTTGCCCTGATTGTTTCTTGTCTGGAATTCCCCTGTTTTTGAGTGTTGTTCTGTATTTACTGTTATGATTTTAGAGTTTTTAAATACTGGTAGATAGATTTTGTTCATTTTCATGGTTTCTTCCTTTCTGTTGAAATTTATCAACAATTACAGTGAGATCAAGGAGAGCCAGATCCTCCTGGAGAATCTCTTGAGATGTGTCTTCTATTAACACGTGTCACTATTCACCTGTTCCAGTGTGAATCTTTCAAGAATTTTAGAAACTCTTTCTTCAGGAGTAAGCAAATGCCACAGGTCCCTGAAAGAAATCTTTGGGGTTATCGTTTTTATTATAAATGCTGCTGACCCATCATATATAAAATTTTCTTCAGAACTAGAAAATAAATGAATTCTATTATCTAGAGAACTAGAAAATCAAGGATGTTTTCATCGTGATTTAAATAACTAGTAAAAGGGAAGGTAGATACTTACGATGTGGTTCCAGTCAGTTCTAACAAAAGATAAAAAGAAGCCATTCTAGGGACATAGAATGGATGTATACAAATAGCAATGGAACACAGAAAATTATGCAAGTAAATTATTTGTTTTTGTGACTTGAGAAATATTAGGATAGATAGCATTCCATGGCAGAAAACTGCTATGTATATGTGACCACCCCGCTCTTATGTCCTGTCACCCTTCAGTTTTATGGCTTTGTGGTTAGTGGAAAATAATAATGTTAAAAAGCATTTGATCAATTTTCCAGGTTGATGTATCTGGATTTCAGCTTTCACCTTTAGCACCATTCAGAACAGCTTTTGAAACTGTAATGCTACTGTCAAAGGTAAAGTTACTGATCCTTTTTTATGAATCCATTTTCTGTACTTTAGATTTTAGCTCTGCTTTATATGATTCTAGATGTTTAGGTATTTCACCCACAAACACTGGTGTGGATACAGGAATTCATATTGAGGTCAGAAAGTACCCCAGGTTGAGACACTGAATGAAAGCAATGTTTATGTGTTTAAATGGATATTCAAAACGAAGAACTCATGTAAAACAGAGTTTCTTCAAGCACAGTATTTTACAATTGCAATCTAATATCTATTTTAAAGGAACTGGAATTGTACAAAGAAGAACTTTGCAGCAAACCTGCATTGCTTGCTGTTAATAAAATGGACTTACCCAGTGCTAAAGAAAAATTGGATGAACTCATGGAACAACTGCAAAAGCCTGAAGGTGAGATATTTTATAGAGCTCTTTTTCTCAAAGTGACTTGTGAGAAATTGGTGTTTGTAGAAAGTTCCACATCTGGCAGAGATCTTGTAAAGTGGAACATATTGTTGTGATCTTCACAACGTACTCCATGTGACCTGAGAGGGTTGAAAAGTGGGCCTAGATACCAGTGAAATGTATAATGTTAACCACATTGTACAATATTGATGGAGGTATTCATGCTTGATGCATGTGTGCATCTTATTTATACCAGTGTGTTGCATGCTTTCTGTACAGTTTCCAAATGAACCCTGCGTGATACACATGCAGATGCTGATGCATCAGGAGGATTTGCATATAGATCTGTATAAATGACTTGTACAGCATAACCATAAATCATGTAACAGATCCCTAACATTTCAGTCTACCTCCTTCATATACGCATAGCTACTTGAAGTTATGGCATACTGGTGTGTGTTTGTGTGTGAATAGTAGTAGCACTAGTATCATAATTTCTCTTTTCACACACCACTGTGCACACTTTGTGTTTTTATTTGACAGATTATCTCTCTCCTCAATTTATCTGCTCTAAAACTGTGTGGCTGTTTAGCTGATACGTAAAGGCAGCAAGAAAAGCTGAATTCAAAGGAATTAAATTAGGAAATTGTTTTACAGTGTTTCCTGCCCAAAATGTGACATTCACTAGGAGAGCTTTTTAGTTACTTTGTAAGAAGAATGATGTTTCAATCTAGCTATTGTATTTTGAAGCATTTCTTTAAAAAACTATTTTATGTGTAAATTTGTATTTATTTATTTATGACATTTATATCCTGCCCTTCTCACCCCAAAGGGGGCTCAGAGCATCGTACAAGTTATGTGTACATACAATATATTATATTATTAGCATAGCGCAATATTAGTATTAAGTATTACTATATTGTAGTATACCACTATACTGCAATATTATTAATAATATTATATGCAATATATGATATACAATTTTATATTGTATTATTATATTGTATTACATTATAATATTAATATTTTATGTATATACAATATATTATATTATTAGCATAGTACAATATTAGTATTATATATTACTATATTATACTACATCACTAAACTGCAGTAATGTTAGTAATATTGCATGTAATATATAATATATAATTATTACATTATATTGTTATTATATTGTACTAGCTGTCCCCTGCCACGCATTACTGTGGCCCAGTCTGTTGAACTGGAAAATAAAGTAATGAGAAAGTGTTGGTTTCTAATATATGTAATTTCTTTCTGCTTGTGGGTAAACAGTATTTCTTGCTGTTTCTTTGTCGGTGTTGATGTGGAGAGTGTCTGGTTTTCCCATCCTGGAACATGCAAGATATCATTGTCCTTCTTTAAGGGTCCCTTTGAAATCTATGATACTATATCTGTGTGTGTGAATCATATCTATCTATATCTATATCTATTCCTGGATGGCTCTTTGTCAGGACTTTGATTACGTTTTCTTGCCCTGATGAAGGGAGTTGGATTGGATGGCGTTAAATATTTTCTGTTGGTCATGGGGTTCTGTGTGGGAAGTTAGCCCCAATTCTGTCATTCGTGTGGTTCAGAATGCTCTTTGATTGTAGGTGAACTATAAATCCCAGCAACTACAAATGACAAAATCATAATTTTTTGAGTGATGGTCACTCCTCGTGTTGTGAGATGTTCTGTTGCCAAATTTGGTGTGATTTCGTTCATTGGTTCTTTAGTTTTTAAGGTACTCATTATGCACATAGCATTTTTTATATATAGATTACAATATTATGATCAATATTATATGTACATACAGTATATTATATTATTAGCATAGCACAATATTAGTATTAGATAGTACTATATTGTTGCTGGAGTGAGGGTCTCCCAACTGATGAGCCGGGAGACATGGTGGAACTGTGTCTTCCTAGCTCCCCTTCTTCACTCTGGCCCCAGAGCGGTGAAAAGAAATGAAACCACAGTGTATTGTTTTGCTGAAACAAATTATTTTATTTCTGTTAGTTATGGGATTGGAGGTGTTCTGGCCTTATGTTTAATAATATGTATCTAGCTAGAGTAAAATTATATTCTGAATGTCCCTAAAGGAAAGCTGAAACAAATGAAAAGCAGGTTCACTTTACTCTATGTTCATGCACAACTAGTTTCTTTTCCCAGCAGAAATGATTGCTTACATTTCTGTGACAAAGCATTCACTCCAAGGACAGGAACAGAGAGAGATTTTAGTTTATGAAACTTACAACAATAGCTTGAGCGTGATACATACATTCCATAATGTGCAGTGGAACTTTATTCTAGTACACAGGATTCAAGCTTAAAGTACGGATTTAAAAATGGATTACATTGCTAAAGAGTTAGGGTCAATTCATTTGCATGTTTCTTTATGTTGCTTAAAATTATTTTACATACAATTATATCCTTCTATATATATTAATATATTAATATGAATGATAACTATATGTAATTTCAGATCATATGCATTTGCTTCCCGTAAATATGATTCCAGAACTCACCATCAAGTTCAAAGATATCATTCCCATATCTGTACATTCTGGTGAAGGATTGGAAGAACTGATTGAATGTTTAAGAAAAGTACTAGACGAAGAAGCTGAGAAGAAGATTGAAAATTATCAGAGACAGCAACTTCAGGCACTGCGTCAGTTAGAAATGTAGCCACTCCTTACACCCAAAAGCCATTGGATGCTGGTTGAAAGCTTCATTCTTACATCTCACTGACTGAAGCTGGGTTTGCGGCAAGCCCTAGTTTGTTTTCTCTTTCAGACCATCCACTTCAAAATGAAGAGTATACATTATTCTCCAGTTTTTGTAAATACAAAATCTGCATTTTTTTTTACCACCAAATATCTGAAATTTAAGCTATGTAATGTTTGCAATCAAGCATCGTGTAGATTACATTTCATGGATGTAAATAAATATGTAATTTTAAAAGTAAATAAGTGTTGAGACTCTTTTTAATCTCTTTACTAAGGCTTTTAGCATGGCTTCTGCATCTTCAGTGTGATAGAAATGGAAAGGACCTCCAATCCCTGCTCAATGTAGGCTCACCAGTTGCAGGTATCGAAAGCCCCCCACATTGGCAGTCTTTGGTGCCGGGGTATAAATAAAGTATATTATTATTATTATTATTATTATTATTATTATTATTATTATTACCCATAACAAGTACTGCTCTAGCCTCTTCATCCAGAGAAGACGAGCTCACCATCTCTAGGCCACATGTTTCAAACTCAAGGCCAAATCCAGCAGCATTTGGTAAGGATATTCAACACTGGCAGTAAAAAAACTAAAGTACATATAAATTGATTTTTATTACCCTTTGACAGCTCCTGGATGGATCATGTAATGAAACTAATCAAAATTCCTATGAGCTTATTGATGCTAGCCAGTACAGGCAGTTCCCAAATTACGAACAGGATAGGTTCTGTAGGTTTGTTCTTAAGTTAAATATATATTTAAGCCGGAACAGGTACCTTTTTAAGTGTAAGATAAAGGTAAAAGTTTCCCCTTGACATTTAGTCTAGTTGTGTCCGACTCTGGGGAGGTGGTGCTCATGTCCATTTCTAAGCCGAAGAGCCGGCATTGTCCGTAGACTCCTCCAAGGTCATGTGGATGACATCACTGCATGGAGTACCATTACTTTCCCACCAGATTGGTACCTATTAATCTACTTACATTTGCATGTTTTCAAACTGCTAGGTTGGAAGAAGCTGGGGCTAACAGCGGGAGCTCATCCTGCTCTCCATATTCGAACCGCTGACCTTTCAATCAGCAAGTTCAACAGCTCAGTGATTTAACCTGCTGCACCACCAGGGGTTAAATATAACTCCAGATAAATATATATAGCATAAGGAAGGGTTAACACCCCTGTGATGTTTGTTTTGCTCTCTGGGCCCCTGTTCAGAAAATTTCACCTCTCTTCCTGTCCCTGTAGTCATTGGACTTTGAAACATTTGGCTTGTGTGGAAACAAGGATTGGTGGTGAAGACCAATGGAGACCCCTTTTCCCATGTTAACTTCCAGGAGTGAATTTCCCTTCCTAGGGGAAGATTTCTCTCACTTTCTGTTTTCTAAGCCCTGTTCTTAATTACGAGTTGTTTGTAAGTCTGATGTTTCTAACTCGAGAACTGCTTGTATAGATATTAAGCAGCAGTAGTGCTAAGAAGTATAAATAATATACTTTATTTATAATTATGTAAAATCTAGAAATTTTAATTAAAAATCAGGCCTAAAAAACTGGTTAAGGTACAGTATCAATGTTGATACTGTACCTTAACTCTTACCATAAAAGGAACCATCCCCTTTCCTGAGTAAAGAGGCAAAAAGCAAGATCTCAGTCCGTTCTGGGGTTACCTAAAGAAGGTGACCCTGCCTACATTCTCTACTCTTTCCCTTTTTGAACATCCAGGCAACAAAATAGTGGTGGTGACCAGGGCCAGCTGCCTTTCTGAGATGACCCTCTACTTATCCATGGGTCACATCATAATCCCTATTTTTGGCCCCAAAACCTTCCCTCAACTTATATGTGAAGTTGACTTATTATTTATTTATTTACTATATTTATATCCCGCATTTCTCACCCCGAAGGGGACTCAGAGCAGCTTACAAGGAGGCAACAATTGAATGCCGCAGGAACAGGCATATAATAAACATATACATTAAAAATAAAAAACATCTAAACATCTAAACATCCAAAAATCAATAATTAAAAGCACACAATCCAAAATCATAATTCAGGAGCCATTCCTGTCGTAATTGGACTTATTCCAAATCCACTTATTGAACTGAATTATTGTTCAAAGGCTTGGTCCCACAGCCATATTTTTAATATCTTTCTAAAGGTCAGGAGGGCGGGAGCCGATTTGATTTCGGTGGGGAGCGAGTTCCGCAGTTGAGGGCCCACCGCTGAGAAGGCCCTGTCTCTCGTCCCCACCAACCGCACCTGTGACAGAGGTGGAACCAAGATCAGGGCCTCCCCAGAAGATCTTAACTTACAAGGTGGTTCATAGAGAGATGTTTGGACAGATAAGCTGGGCCAGAACCATTTACGGCTTTATAGGCTAAAGCCAGCACTTTAAATTGTGCTTGGTAGCAGATTATCAGCCAGTAGAGCTGGCGTAATAGGGGAGTTGTATGCTGCTCTGTATGCTGCTCTGGTGAGGAATCTGGCTGCAGCCTGTTGGACCACTTGAAGCTTCCGAACAGTCTTCAAAGGCAACCCCACACAGAGCATAGAGGCAACCCCAAGTAGACTATGCTGGCTTTTGCATTTGATCACACGTCGGACATTTCTCAAGTGTCTAGGAGTGTGTGATGTATTGGCGAATAATGGGTGCAGATCCGAGTAGGGTGGCCTTTTGCAACTGACAGATGGTAATTTTGTCAGTGCCAATTGTGTTTAAGTGCAGGCCAAGGTCTTTAGGCACTGCACCCAGTGTGCCCATCACCACAGGGACCACCTTTACTGGCTTGTGCCCGAGTTTTTGCAGTTCGATCTTTAAATCCTCATATCGTGTAAGCTTTTCCAGTTGCTTCTCATCAATTCTGTTATTATTATTATTATTATTATTATTATTATTATTATTATTATTATTACTTCTACTACTATTATTACAAATGGGCTCTAATTTGCAAAATTAAGTAAAACACTGTAGAATGTTGGTATCTCGCCAAACTGCAATTCCCAGGATTCCACAGCATTGAGCTATGGCAATGTAAGTGGTGTCAAACTGCATTAACTCTAGAGTGTAGATGCACCCTTAATCAAGTATTGCTAGAAAAAAGTTCAAATACATATCTGGGGATGAATTTGCACTAGCTCGATGATATGCAGCCTTGGGAGTTGTAGTTTTACAAAGTTATCAGCCTTCTCTGCCAAAGAGTGCTGGTGCCCCACCAAACTATAACTCCCGCTATCCCTTGATCCAGTGAAGTTAAAGTATCAAACTATATGATTCCTACTATATAGATGTATCCATAGAGAAGCCTCCCTTGCAGGTCGGGAGGCAGCAAGAAAAGCAACCTGAAACCCAACCCCGAAGGCGTGGCTTCGGAAACAATCCCGGGAAGGGGATCCTGGGAGTTGTAGTTTCGAGGCGCTGCGGGAAAGGAGGGACCATTGCAGGCGGAAACTACAATCCCAGGAAGCCTTAGAAAAGGCAGCCACTTCCTGGAGAAACCGAGAGCTGCAGAAAGCCAAGAAGGAGGCGAAGGAAGAGGATCTTTGGGGTTTTGCAAATTGGGGTGCCTTTTTTCGAGGGTGAGTTTCGCCTCTCCTTTGATATTTTCATTATTATTTTGAACCCCTTTTTCTTCCTTCCTTCCAAAGGAGCTGCTTTCCTCTGATCAATGATCCTGATCCCTTGTGCCGCCTAGCAAAGCCATTTGCATCCTAAAAAATAGTGCTTTTTCCATTGAAATCTTTGGATTTGAATGTGAAATGCTCAAGCGGAAGGCTTACGCTCTGTCCATAGCAGCTGGTCCTGTTTACTGTTGTGCTTTCCAACCTCAGATAGACTTTTCTTGGGAGGATTGGTTCAGAACAGGCTTGCCATGGCCTTCCTCTGAGTCTGAGAGAGTGTGACTCACCCAAGGTCACCTGGTGTGCCTTCTCCAGTTGGGGTTTTCAACTCATCACAGGGTTTGGCTGGCAAGATTGGTCCAAAACAAATTTGTATTTGCCTGAGGCTGAGATAGTGTGACTCACCCAAGGTCACCTAGTGTGTCTTCTTCATTTGGGGTTTTCAGCCTAGCACAGAGTTTGTTTGGCAAGATGGGTCCAAAACAAGTTTGCCATTGCCTTCCCCTGAGGCTGAGAGAGTGTGACTCGGCCATGGTCACCTAGTGTGCCTTCTTGGGTTTTCAACCCATCACAGGGTTTGGTTGGCAAGATTGGTTCCAAAACAAGTTTGCCATTGCCTTCCTCTGAGGCTGAGAGAGTGTGACTCACCCAAGGTCACCAAGCTGCCTTCTTCAGTTGGGGTTTTCAACCTATCACAGGGCTTGGCTGGCAAGATTGGTCTAAAACATGTCTTTCTCTGAGGCTGAGAGTGTGTGACTTGCCCAAGATGGGTTTCCATGGCTGAGCAGAGAATTCAATCCTGGTCTCCAGAGTCAAAGCCCAACACTCAAGGCACCGAGACTATAGATTCAAGGTTTGTAACATCATATGTTTACTGCCAGAGCAAAAAAATTCATTGGTCCTAAATATTTGTAAAGCTTGATCATTTCTGTAGGGCTTGTTGTTGTTGTTGTTGTTGTTGTTGTTTAGCTTTGAGTTACTTCTGACTTATGGGAACCCTAAAGTGAACCCATCATGGGTTTCTCTTGGCAAGATTTTCTCAGAAAAGATTTGCATTTGCTTTCCTCTGAGGCTGAGAGAGCGTGACTCGCCCAAGATCACCTAGTGTGCCTTCTTCAGTTGAGGTTTTCAACATACTACAGGGTTTGGCTGGCAAGATTGGTCCAAAAAAGTTATTCTCTGAAAGAGTGTGACTCACCCAAGATGAGTTTCTATGGCTGAGTGAGGATTTGAAGCTTGGTCTCCAGGACACAAACCACTACACCAGGCATGGGCAAACTTAAGCGTTTGAAGGGGAAAAGTAAGGGGCCTGAGGCTGTTAGGAATGGTGGGAGTTGAAATCCAAAACACCTGGAGGGCCGATGTTTGCCCAAGTCTGGCTTTTTCTTAATGGATGAATATGTCTAACGTATGTAGAAGATGTTGCATTGCATCCCCATTGCATTCTTTCCCACCAACTATGCTGATTTTCTTGGATCTGCACTCCCAAAACATCTAGCAAGCTAAATGATGCCATCTTTAATATAAGCTAATGGCAGAAGATTAGGGACAGAGGAAACAAGTATTTCTTCACACAAGAGATAATTATTTTCTGGGGTTGGCTGCCACAAAATAACAATATTGGGCTAGGTAGATCTGTGGCAAGAAACTAAAATCTGTAGATGAGTACTATTTATGATGACAGCGGGTTAAACCACTAAGCTGGTGAACTTGCTGACCAAAAGGTTTGTGGTTTGAATCCGGGGAGCGGGGGGAGCTCCCACTGTTAGCCCCAGCTTCTGGCAACCTAGCAGTTTGAAAACATGCAAATGTGAGTAGACCAATAGGGGAAGATATATTCTGTGGGAAGGTAACAGTGCTCCATGCAATCATGCTGACCACATGACTTTGGAGGTGTCTATGGAAAATGTCAGCTCTTTGGCCTAGAAATGGGATTTGACTAGACTTATTGTCAAGGGGAAACCTTTACCTTTAATCATGACTATTCAGCCTACTGAGGTGCATCTACACTGTAAAATTAATGCAGTTTTGCACGAGTTGAACTGCTGTGGCCTTTAGCCTCATCTGCCAAAGGCCTGGGGGTTCACTGAACTACAACTCCCAGGATTCCATAGCATTGAGTTAAACTGATGTCAAACTGCATTAATTCTACAATGTAGATTCACCTCACAGACCTAAATGATAAACCTGATGGTAAGGACCAAAAGCATTGGTATTTGTAGGCTTCCCAGAGGCATTTGGGGCTCACATTATAGAATTATATTCTGCTGTAATTGCCATGGCAACATCCCATATGATTAAAGATTTCAAGATCAGAGAGAGGTGCCGTATTTGGAGATCTCCAGTGCATCCTCAAAGTACAAACCCTTGGAAACAAGATACTGGACAAGATATGGCTTTGGTTTCATTGAACAGGGGTCTGCTGCATGTTTTCCACCCAATGCTGTGTGTTTCTGTTTGAAATGCTTTGACTGTGCCTTAAATCATAGCTCAGTTTCTGCGCTGTGGCCAAATGAGTCATCATTATTAACAAAAGCAAAATGACGGATTCTCTCCCCCCCCCCCCCATTCTTTTTTTAGATTCTGCAAAATGGCTTAGAAAATCTTATTTAGAATCTGTTACCATTCTTCAGTAATCAAGACCTAAAACAAATGAGAAACTGGCCATAGGTAAACATCTGGAAAGGAGATTCCACCTGAACACAGGAAAGAACTTCCTAACTGTGAGAGCTGTTCAGCAGTGGAACTCTCTGCTCTGGAGCATGGTGGAGGCTTCTTCTTTAGAGGCATTTTAACAGAGGCTGGATGGCTATCTGTCGGGGATGCTTTGAATGCAATTTTCCTGTTTATTGGCAAGGGGTTGGACTGGATGGCTCACGAGGTCTCTTCCAACTCTAGGATTCTACGATTCTGTCATGCTCAAATACAGGCTTACTCCATGTGTTACAGGCCTAAGCTGTCATATTAATGTTACATGTTAATGCATAGAAGTAGAAAAAATGGAGTACCTTTGGAACATTCATATTTTGGTTGCATGTTGTGAATAACTTGCATTAACTAGATACTACATTTTTTAATTGATCGTAAATGGTTTTGATTATAACTAGGTTTGTTTGAAGATTGTTTTTGGCAAAATTCCTGTTTTCTGGCTTTTGAAGATTTTCCTGGGGTGCTTTCACCCTATATAATTAAGACAGTCTGGTGCAACTTAAACATCTATGGAGTCCTGAAGTTTGTAGTTTGAGGAGGCACTATAGGTATCTGATTGAAAATTCCAAGTATACCTCTCTAAAATGCAAATGATTTCACAGAATGGAGTCATGATAGTTAGTAACTGGCATTGAGAACCACATACATATTTTGCTATTGGTTACAGAATAAGAAGTATGACTAGTAGCCACAAATATCAATATCATCCATGAGGGAGCCTACTAGATCGTTCCAAAACAAGCAAGAGTTGGACTAGTCAAAATCAAAATCTGGTTTGCAATTTTGGTTAGTTAAATGAGCAATAAGACAGGACCTTTTGCTCAAAAGAAAAGCTAAGCTTTCAAGTTCTGGTCAGTTCAATAGTCACCATTGGAAAGAGGCAATTCCATTTTTCTGCTTATACATGATATGTTATGATTCACCACAGTCCCCCAAAAGATGGGAACTTTACTTAATCTAATGTTTTTTCCTCCCTAGGTTGGTTAGACTCATACAAGCTGCTTGCTGTTCTTCTTGGTTTGGTAACACCTTTTGGTAAGTTTATCTTCTCAATCCCTTAGAAAGGAGCTTAGCCAAAGCCACAGTTGAAGGTATGCCTACCATAACTTCTCTTTATTTCAGAGTCAAAAATACATTTCCTGGTGCCAAATTCAAATATATATTTTTTAGGTTAAGTTAATTTTACCTCTGAAAAACATGAAGTGATATTTTAATTCAGACAGGGCTCCTTTGCAAGGTAGAAGTATGCAACTGGCCAGGCTTTCTATTGCCACTGCTGCTGCCCAACACCATTTTTAATAGGGTCTTCCTGTATAAGCCTCACTTCGTGAAGTTTCTCTATGCCTCATGAGGTAAGCCCCTATTAAAATGGGAGTGGATGAGGTGGCAAGCCCTGGTTGCCAGGTGTGTCACATTCTTTGTCACCTTTATTTACTAGAACATTCATCCCAGGCCTTTCATTTTTGTGAAATAATTGCCTGCTTGCTAAAATATGAAAACCTTTAAAATATAATCTGCCCAGTTTTCTAATTAAGAACTATAACAGATGAGAACTTTGCATTCTAGGAAATTTCTTATGACTGCTGGCATCACTTGTTAGCAAATTGTCATAGTAAGTGCTCAGGAGAAGATTCAATGTTATATTGCTATACCAGGCAATGCTTGCTTATTTGTAAATTACCATTTGTAGTTTTTTGAGAAAACCATTTTTAATCAGCTGGTTCCATTTGATAGGAACTCCAATGCACCACAATTGCTTCAGTGTGATTTCAACAGATTCCTGTTTAACAACAGTTTGCAGAAGTGTTTGTTTTAGGTTTCCGAAATACTTCAGCAAGCATCCAGATGGATTCTGTGAGCTGTGGTGCAAAATTAACCAGGCTGACCAGGAAGAGTTTGGAAGTTTTAATCTAAAAATAACTCTTCCGAGCTCTAGAATAATGGTTCTTAACCTGGAGACCACCACTGGGTCATGAGGACTAAAATCTGACCTGCAATTTATTTTATTTTATTTATTTCCACTCCTTTCACGCCACCAGCCATTCCTTCCCTGTCGCTCACCATGGCATATGTTCTGTATCAGAAACTAGAGCTGATGTGGTCTGTCCAATGCAATTTTCTGAATCAGCACCCCAAACTGAATCTAAAGTTGACCAAAAACTGATTCGTAATCCTTTTGGTACTAATGTTGGAGAGTGGTCCCTGATCAAGTGTTCTCTAATCAGGTTGGGAACCACTGCTCTAGAATAATAGAGTTCTGTGATTCTGTGAGACTATGCTGCTTCTAATTCCTCTTTTGAAAAAAAATGAATTGAAAACTTCTCTGGGGGTTTGTAAGCAGAGTCTGGATGGCCATCTGACTGGGGTGCTTTGATTGCTTGTTCTTGCATGGCAGGGGGGTGGACTGGGTGGCCCTTGTGGTATCTTCCAAATCTTATGTTTCTGTAATTCTAGAATATTATTGACTTATAAGCCCTTTCTTTCCCAGGGAGCTTTTTCCTCGGCTAAAATGGGCTGCCGCGATGTCCATGCCGCAACAGTCCTGGCCTTCCTTTCTGGAACAGCCGCTTTATCGGGACTCATTGCTGCTGCTCTGCTTCCGAACTGGAGACAAATGCGACTTTATACCTTCAACAAAAATGAAAAGAATGTGACAGTGTACACCGGGCTCTGGATTAAGTGCGTCCGAGCCGATGGGAGCAAAGACTGTGTGATCTATGACACCGAGTGGTACACCGCAATCGATCAGCTGGATTTGCGTGTCCTCCAGCTTGCTCTCCCCATAAGCATGCTCACTACTGTCCTGGCTCTGTTTCTCTGTCTGATTGGCATGTGCAACACAGCCTTTGTTACCACAGTGCCCAACATCAAACAAGCCAGATGCCTTATAAACAGCGCAGGCTGCCATCTTGTGGCTGGCCTCTTCTTTCTCCTGGCATGTGTCATTTGCTTGACGCCATCTATTTGGGTCATCTTTCACAATCAAGTAATGAACAAGAAATATGAACCTGTTTTCAGCTTTGATATCTCAGTGTATATTGCTATTGCCAGTGCAGGAGGATTGTTGTTCACCGCCATTCTCTTGTTCCTCTGGTATTGTGCCTGTAAAGCCCTACCTTCCCCATTCTGGCAGCCTCTATATTCACATGCGCCTAGTGTGCACAGCTATGCTTCCCAGCCCTATTCTGCACGATCACGCCACTCCGCCATTGAAATTGACATCCCTGTTGTTACACATGCTACTTAAAGATGGAGTTTGGGAAAGCCAAATGCCACTTTGCGCTCTCAATGTATCAAGGTGGGCAATTTTCCAATGCCTTGCCTTGGAGACTTTCCGATCAGTATGCCATTGGAACTTGACAGTTTTTAACCACTTCTCCATGGGTGTTAGAAACATATTTTGAGTATATATATTAGACATATTAGTTTTGGTCTTGATACTACCTGTCATTTTTTAAGTCCTATCAACACTATTGGTGCTTATAAGACAATAGGTGACTTAAAGACTGGGACTTTTTTGTCTCAGTCTAGTTTCTTCCATGAATTATATTACCAAGATACACATCCAGTGATAATCTGACATGGAAGATTGTTTTTTAAATTTATCTTGTAGGTCCAATGTTTTAACCTAAGGGAATACATTTTTGAGCCTTGCCATTCTAAATTTTACCACTGTGTGAAGCAGTCGCTAATGTGCCAGTTTGGTCCTGTGTCAACTCTTGTTTTCCCTTGAGATTGTGAAAAACACAAAAATGAGGTTACAAGAAACATAATAATAATTAGCTTTAAATCTATATATAAATAGTAGTATAGTAGTATTGTCTGAGAAGGCCTTTGTTCTATAGAAAACAATTATTTGAAGTTATATTTTCCTTTCTCTGAACAATGGAAGTGCCCCTAAATCCATTTACAATTAAAGTATATATGCATATCACGAATAAACCAAATAGCTTTAGAATTACGTAAAGTGCCCCTGTAATAAAATCTATTTTAGTAGAGATGTCATTTCTAGATTTCTAGTTCTATTAAATTCCACAGGAACTTAACTTTGCTTTTGGACAACCAGGATTTCTTTTGCTTTATCTGTAAAATACATCATTCTTTTAGATATTCATTAAAGAAATTCCATCTAATTCCTAGTCATAATCCTAATCTGTTATTAAATGCCTTTGAAATTTTAGACAGTTGTATTGATTCGTTATTATTTTTTCTTGTTACAAAGGGTTTCCTTTAATACAAATGGGCTCTCCAATAACATTTTCAGAATGAATTAAAACTGTAGAAACTTTGGAGAGTTCTTATATAAATATTGAAGATGAGATCATTATCAAAGGCATTTTAAAGACTTCTGATACTTTAGTTTGCATACAGATTCATTTCTTACATCTCATCCCTTTTTCTTTTGCATTAACACATGCGTTCTTTTCTTGATATAAATTTCCCATTTGTGGTACTTGTGTGCCTTCAAGTCGCCTGTCGACTTATACCTTCTGAATAATGAAAAACGATTAAATTGTATGAGCTTCAAGGCTTCTTTGAGTAATGAGCAAAATGGAGCATACGGGTTTCATCTCTGTTTCAAGAAAATTAGTTTTACAATTAATTAAACTTCTTCACTGACACTTATTAGCTGAAGTAAGATGTGACCTTCTGGATTTGTTGAAATCATATATTCCCGAATCATTAAATGTAAAATTATATCAAAACAAAACCACTCAAAAAAGCTCTTGATTTATAGACATTTCCCCCCCTATTTTTCTACTTGGGTGCTCAGACTCCTCTTTTTACCCATTCTCAGATAGCAAGAATAGGGACCAAAGTTGACAATCTCATTTTAAATATGTTTTCTCAGTTTCTTTGAAGAGTTCCATACTGATGCTTGCTTCATATTTTAAATTCCACATTGCTTATCTGAGCTACTGAGTATATTGTTTCAATGTATGATTTTGTGGAAACATTGGGCAATCCTCACTTAATAGTAAACCAGTTGTGATTTCTTGACTTCTGGCATATTATTGTAGTCCAGTCAGTTCCAACCAACAAACTATTTTTGGTGGTCAGACACAAATCACAACTACAAACTATGGTTGAGTTTATTGACTTCCAAACTCTGCCTTATTTAAATTGTGGCTTGTTGTTACTTTTGAATCTACAATCATGGTTTGTTTCTTCAGCTACTCATCCTTAAGTAAGGATTGACAGAGGAAGCAGGAAAGAAACAGCTTAAAAATGGGGAAAACAAAGTAATTTGGTCATCTGTGGAATTTTTTTTAGCTAAAGGTATACATTTTGGCTACCATAAACCACAGCTAAACCTAATGTGAGGTTAGAGCTTTGTGATTTAGTGGGTCCGTGAATCTTTTGTTCTATTTATTTGTTTACAGGTAAAACAAACATTTGAAGAAATTGCTCTGCTATGTTCAACTAATAATTGCTCTGCTATGTTCAAGCAGAAATTGCTCTGCTATGTTCAACTAATAATACACAGAGCAATTAGTTCACAGTCAATTTGCAGATGTGTAGGCCTAACTGCAAATTATTAGATAGGCCTTAATATGTATATGCAGTTGTCAAGAAAATGGCAAAAGGGTGGTGCTAAAAATGAAATTATTGCCCTCTCTTTCCCCCTCATGGATTAAATTAAATTAAATTAAAGTGTGTGTGTTTTGAATTAACATTTGGCATCCTTATAAGCATGCCATGCAACCATGATTGGTTCTGAAAATTATCTCTTGACAAATACAGACTGCATTTATCTTTTATTTTATAAATTGAGAGAAATTAGAGATGGCCTCTTTTGTTGTTTGTTGTGAAACATAATCTGCATTGATGATTGAATTGTTGTCAGAGCAATTATTATAGTTATGCACAAATGTAAATATATTCTCTGTGGGATAGTTTCCTCCCACTGAATGCCCAAATTAACATCCCATTTCATAATTCTTTTGTTGTTTCAAGGAACGTAAAGCAATGCAGCTAAGATTTTTCTTTTAGATGTGGAGTCCCATGGTACATCACTGTGCGGGTTTTCTATATTGTAACCAATTTATCTAAATATATTAATGTGAATTATGGGAAATGCTTCACAGGATGGGCACCCTTCAGTTGGTTGGGATATAATTTTGTGCCATTTTCTACTAAAACCATCTATTCCAAACAAGTTGAGATATTTATATTTTCAGAATGATAGCTTCCTAAGTGATGTGATATTTTAATTTTGACTTATATGCTAGAGACCAAATGTATATTTGGCTGCCAACTTGTTCTTAAATAAAGGATTTATATAAAATAAATAACTTTTCAAAATGCTTGTACATACAAAAGCTTCTGGTCTAACTTTAAAGTTGTCAGTTTTGAATTTTATCTTTATGCATTTTTTCTAGCACTCAGAACTGTCAGTGTGAATTTCAACAATGGTTTTGGAAAACAATTTCATCATCACTTGTTTTGTATTTGCATGAAATAGTGCTGCTTTCTTCAGGTTTTGACTGCACAACTGGGAAAAGTGGTTTTTGCTTCAGTAATGTTTAGTTATGTATGCATTTTTATGTAAACAGAATGTATTTTTCAATAAAAAAGACTGGTCTTGTACAGCTCTGGCTATACTTCTATATATAACAATGAATAATTAATGGCTGTTGGGTCAAAACTTGGAAAATATTATGTTTTGAACTTTTAATCCCAAAGAAAGATCAGTGGGGATTCAAGGCCCCATAGTTCAAAAAGAATTGCTTTTCCAAGGTTAGTACTGGATTGTATGGTGAAAAAATAACAAATATCCTGAGCAAAACTTTTGTGCTTGAATGTAACTTTCTATTCAGAGATATTCCAAGGGAGGTGGAAGTAAACTAATAAGGAATACTCAATTCTACATTATAAATTAATGGAAGGAGTTTGAACACTCCTTGTGCCATTTGGAAATGAGATAGGAACTAGAAACACATTCTGGAGTGGGCACTTTATCCATTTTTGCTACTCTAAAAAGTAATTTCATTTTAGGGTTTTACTCTCAGTTCATTTACTCAAACTAAATTCTACGATGTTATCATCATTGGTAATCACTTGTGTCTGAGTAGGATGGCCTTCCAAGCATAGTATCTTGGTGGCAGGTCCGTAGGTGGCTGTGGAGACCTATTCTTGATCCACATGTTCTTCCACAGGGAAGACATTGGTTTCCAGATGGAACGCAGTCCCGGTCAGGGTTGGCTTGACACACTTTCCTCGTGACACGTTTCTCTCTTTCTCCATTTGAGCCTCTTCGAATTCCACAGAAATGTTGGTCACAGCTGACCTCCAGTTTGAATGCTCATGGGCCAGGGCTTTTCAGTTCTCAGTGTCTATGCCACAGTTTTTAAGGTTGGCTTTAAGCCCATCTTTAAAACTATTTTCCTGTCCATTCTGTTTTCCATTCTTGAGCTGAGAGTATAGTAACTGCTTTGGGAGACAGTGATCGGGCACTCGGACAACGTGGCCAGTCCAGTGGAGTTGATGGCGGAGGATCATCGCTTCAATGCTGATCGTCTTTGCTTCTTCCAGCACACTGACATTTGTCCACCTGTCTCCCCAAGAGATTTGCAGGATTTTTCAGAGGCAACGCTGATGAAATCTTTCCAGGAGTTGAGTGTGACGTCTGTAGACAGTCAACATTTAGAGGTGTATAACAGGTTTGGGAGAACAATCGCTTTACAAACAAGTATCTCGGTAGTAGAAATAGTCAACATTTTCTAGCGTTACACCATTAAGCTGTATTACTGACATTGCTGATGAATTGGCTGGTGACTGCTGGAAGAGCACTTTGGTTTTCTTGATGTTCAATGACAAGCCGAGCTTCTCGTATGCTTCTGCAAAGGTGTTTAGAGTGGCCTGTAGGTGTTCTTCTAAATGCGCACAGACTACGTTATCATCAGCATATTGGAGTTCTATAACAGATGTTGTTGTGACCATGGTTTTGACTTTCAGTCTGCTAAGGTTAAATAGCTTCCCATCAACAAGACGAAGTATCATAGCGATGAAGATGGAGAAGAAGGTTAGGGCAATAACACATTCCTGAGCACTTTGGTTTCCTCGATGTTCAGTAAGAGGCCATGCTTTTCGCATACTTCTGCAAAGGCGTTGAGTGGCTTGTACCTGGATCCTTGTGTTTTAAATGTGTTTTATTGCTGATATGTTATTTATAATGGTTTTGTATTGTATTTTTATTTCTTGTTTTATTTGTATTGCTGTGTTGATTTATACTTATGTATTGTATTGTCGGACTTGGCTTCATGTAAGCCGCCCCGAGTCCCCTTGGGAAGATGGTGGCGAGGTATAAACAAAGTTTTTATTATTATTGACACAAAAGCACAGTATGTCACAGCAAACGAGATCTATATGCTAGATTTCATATCACAAAATCACAAGTCGAACACTTCCCAAGCATCTAGGACTGTGTGATGTATTTTCGAATGATGCACACAGATCCAAGTAAGGTGGCCTTTTGCAATTGACAGATTGTGATTTTGTCAATGCTTATTGTTTCCAAATGCCGGCTGAGATCTTTTGGCACCGCATCCAGTGCGCCAATGGCCACTGGGACCACCTGTACTGGTTTATGCCAGAGCCTTTGCAGTTTGATTTTGAGGTCTTGATAGCGGCTGAGTTTTTCCTGTTGTTTTTCCTCAATGCGACTGTCACCTGGTATGGCGACATCAATAATCCAGATTTTTTTCCTTTCCACAATCATGATGTCTGGCGTGTTGTGTTCCAAAACTTTGTCAGTCTGGATTCGGAAGTCCCACAGTATTTTTGCATGTTCATTTTCCACGACCTTTGCGGGTTTATGATCCCACCAATTATTTGCTGCTGGCAGGTGGTACTTGTAACATAAGTTCCAGTGAATCATCTGGGAGACAGAGTTGTGTCTTTGTTTGTAGTCCATCTGTGCAATTTTCTTGCAACAGCTGAGGATATGATCCATAGTTTCATCTGCTTCCTTGCACAGTCTGCATTTTGGGTCATCCGCTGATTTTTCAATCCTGGCCTTAATTGCATTGGTTCTGATGGCTTGCTCCTGGGATGCAAAAATCAGGCCTTCTGTCTCCTTCTTCAGGGTTCCATTCATGAGCCATAACCAGGTCTTCTCTTTGTCAACTTTTCCTTCAATCTTCTCAAGGAACTGCCCATATAAGGCTTTGTTGCGAAGGAAACTATTTCAATAGGCAAATGTGGTGAATCCAAAAAGACAGCAAGTCTCCGTGAGATTTGAAGCTAAAATCCTTTATTTCTCAAGTGCGGCCGCACCGGACAGAAACAGACAGACAATCAGATGTCTATCAAAGGGCTGCCTGTGCCATTTGATCTTTCCAATTTCATTCTTATACCCTTTTTCTGCCGTGTCATGAACAGACCATGAACAGATCCACCCCTCTTCCAAACTTCCTTTCAAAAACATGTTCTTTCACCTCCTTCTTCTTGACGCCTACAAGAACTGATACCCTTTCGCCTACTTAGAGCCTCTCTTATACATGTTATGACTGCAAATTCTTGGATGTCATCCTGTCCCTTATCCTTCAGCTCTGCATCCTGTTCTTTCCTGTTCTTTTCCAAAACTCTGTCTCTCTTCTTGCCCTTGCTCCTTTCTATGGCAAAGGACAAGGCTCTTCCTTAGGCTTTGCAGTTTTCAGCATTTCCTAATAAGCTCCCCCTTCAGTGTGCCAGCTGTCAGCTCTGGTTTGGAGTGCAGTTTTCTTGTACTGACTCTTTGTCTGCTTTGTTGTTGTCATTTCATCTCTTCATGCCCCTGGTGGTGCAGTGGGTTAAACCCTCATTATTTATTTATTTATTTACGGCATTTATATGCTGCCCTTCTCACCCCGAAGGGGACTCAGAGCGGCTTACAATATATATTTTCATACAATATATTATATTATTAGCATAATACAATATTGCACTATACAATTATATTGTAATATTATTAGTAATATTACATGTAATGTAAATATATAATTATAATTATAATATTGAATTATTATTACTAGTATTATATTGTATTACATTATTATTATTATTATTATTGTATTGTTGAAGGCTTTCATGGCAGGAATCACTAGGTTCTTGTAGGTTTTTTCGGGCTATAGGGCCATGTTCTAGAGCAGGGGTCCTCAAACTAAGGCCCGGGGGCCGGATACGGCCCTCCAAGGTCATTTACCTGGCCCTCGCTCAGGATCAACCTAAGTCATAGAAACAACTTGAAAGCACACAGCAGCAACAACAATCCTATCTCATCAGCCAAAAACAGGCCCTCATTTCCCATTGAAATACTAATAAGTTTATATTTGTTAATGTTGTTCTTCATTTTAATCATTGTATTGTTTATAGGATATGTGCAGTGTGAATAGGAATTCATTCATTTTTTTTTTCAAATTATAATCCGGCCCTCCAACAGTTTGAGGGACTGTGACCTGGCTCTCTGTTTAAAAAGTTTGTGGACCCCTGTTCTAGAGGCATTTCTCCTGACGTTTCGCCTGCATCTATGGCAAGCATCCTCAGAGGTAGTGAGGTCTGTTGGAAATAGGAAAATCGGTTTATATATCTGTGGAATGACTGGGGTGGGGCAAAGAGCTCTTCTCTGCTGGAGCTAGGTGTGAATGTTTCAGCTGACCACCTTCATTAGCATTTGAAGGCTTGGCTGAGCCTGGGAAAATGTTCTGTTGAGAGGTGTTAAGATGTGCCTGGTTGTTTCCTCTCTGCTGTTTTGCTGTTGTAATTTTAGAGTTTTTTAATAATGGTAGCCAGATTTTGTTCATTTTCATGGTCTCCTCCTTTCTGTTGAAATTGTACACATGCTTGTGGATTTCAATGCTTTCTCTGTGTAGTCTGACATGGTGGTTGTTGGAGTTGTCCAGCATTTCTGTGTTCTCAAATAATATGCTGTG